AAAATATATAGAAATCCTGTCCAGACAATCACACATAAATTGTGAAGCAATTAATGTTTCTCGCCGGGGTTTTCTTTACCCTGTTAATATATATAAGAGGATATTTATTGGAGTATCAACTGCGTTGTAGAAATTTTGTTGATGAACAAATTGTAGATGCTTTTTTCAATACTTTTCGGTGGCCCTGACTTGATGAAAGAGAAATTCAAATAAAAACACAGTCAAACTTTATTGAGAAGCAATTAGAGCCAATGACAGGGTTTCCTTTCATTCTTCTTCAACTCATACTATCGTTCCATAGTTCGACTTTCAATCTCTGTTCGAGACCTAATTGAATTGCTAAATTTCTTTCTTCTGGCCGACATTGACATTTGGTTTTCCTGCCAGTGCCTGACAGTTGACAGCTGATTGAGAGAGTTTTTTGCATAAGAAGCTGTCCCTAAAAGGGATACCATTCCCATTCAAATGTACTGTACCTTGTGTACTGCTTCCACACCTATACACAGCCCTCTGATGCTGCTGCAGCACGCTTTTAATTTTGATTAATGACATCTAAGTCGACGTTTTTGGACCCGCATCATTTATATGCCTCACTGACCTCAACATCCGTGCGGTGTTTAGGCTTACTTTTGCTTTCGAACTTGAAACCCAAAGTTTAAGCTTGGATCGATTTCGTGATGAATTGTTTTAGGGAGGCCCTGACATTTTGTTCTTTCAATTTAATTAAAAATTGTTTGCCGGTGCATAGTTCTTGCCCAAAGGAGTTCTTGGGGCTAGAATCGCTGGCTCCTAGCTCCGCCTGTTTCTTGTTTTTTAGTCTGGCATAAAGTTTATTTTTTATTACTCTTTGAAGTAACATTAAAATTTAGTTGCATACGCAACAGGGAGAAGCGGGATCCAAACGAACTAAGGAAGGAACGACCGGCTGGCTATTAAAATCCTCCAGTGTAAAACTATGCTGCACTCTTATAAGTATTTTATTTGCAGCTGCCCAAAGGAGCAGCAGGAGTATGAGTCAGGAGCCAGTAGCCAGTAGCCAGTAGCCAGGAGGATGCAGTAGGAAGGATGCTGCTGCCGTTTCTTAGACTCAGCAGATTTAGCAATGCTTTTGGCAAAGTTGCCGCATTAAAAATACAACACGAGGCAGGGCCTGAGAATGGGCATGGACTGGAATTGGAGGGTAATGCCATACACACAGAGTTGCAATTTCCACAGGAGAGTAGGAAACGGAAGTCCTGGGTAGTAGGAAATGCAATGAATCGTTAAATTTAGCATCGTATTTCAATGCAATTCAGTGGGGCGCTCCTGCTGCTGCTGACAGGTGAATTGCAGCTGTCAGTTGTTGGCATGTCCCCCGAGGAGACGACTGACTCCTCCACTCCACTTCACTTTAAGAGAACGACTCATCTTCCTGGAGAACGACTCATCTTCGTGGAGGACGAGTGATTTGTCGCCAACATGACAGGCAAAGCAGCTTAGCAGCAGCTTATCCTCTTCCTGCCCTCCACAGTTCTTCCCTCCATTCAGTTCTATGACTATTTGCAGCTTAAGCATTTCCATTATAAGAGCTTCGCAGAAGGGAAACCCCCCGTTTCTAAAACCCTTTCATTGCCCATAAACATTTCTATCCTCGCACTTTGCACTTATTAAAAAGTCGTACACATGAGGGCCGAAGGCAAATTTAGGGTCGAAAAATTGTACAAGTAGCATTGGGGCATAAATTTCACGGAAAAACGTAGGCGGCCTAACTTTCAAGTTTCTTTTCGTCTCTCATCGCCCCTCGTTTTCGTCTCTCGTTTGACCCCCTCCTAACTAGGTCTTGGGTCATAAAAAGCAGCTGCATACTTTACGATTCCCTATACCCAGCAGCAGCAGCATATGCTGATTTTATACGTACGAATAGGAATGAGAATACGAAAACGAATTTCTAGAGATCCCTCTTCCCTCTCTCACTCTCACTTGCTTGTTGGAATGCCACACGGGGTCAATTTTTATGAGCATTTTGCCATATTGGAAACAGGGCCAAAAGTTATGGTTATAATTCAGCAATGTTCGGAACAAAAAAGGCAGTAGAGCGGGGGATTGAAAACATATCATCCATGCACATAAGTATTTTCACCCCTTAATTGAGATGTTTTCTCTATGGCTCTATAGGGAGCATGTGGCAGGTTTTTAGAAATATTCATTTTTCGAGTTGCGTCCTTCTTTTTTTTGGCTACATTTAAAACTTTTTTTAGGGAACTAAAAATGCTTGAGCTACGTAAAGAGATTGAGGCAATTATGCACAAACAATTTAAAGAGATTTAGAGTTCATTTAAGTATGCTTAAGAGATATTAACATTATATTATTAAGAGTATACATATTTATCCATAAGATAAGTCTTTGAAAAGTCTAAGATAACTTTTCAGCTAATCATATTTAACTTTCAAATTATTTTTCCTGCAAGTATTCGATAGTTTCATTTTGTCTGTATTGATTTCTATATTCTAGGCAAACATTACTTTTTATATCTTAATTTTCACATCACAAATTGTATCCTTTATCCCTTTTTGCATTTCTATTCCGCTAGCCACTGATTAAAAAAAAAAGGAGATGAAATCGAATTTTTTACTCAAAATCTATTCGAGTTCTCTATTTCATATCTGTGTCTTTTTTTGTAATTTTTTGTATCGGTATAGTAAAAAATGTTAGTATTAATTTCCATATAAATTGCTTCAATGCGCCTGTATCTGTATACCTATCTCTGTAACTGTATTTGCATCTGTGCTTGGTTTTATTTTGTGTGTGTGAGTGTGTATACATAGGTACATAGGTACGTATAACTGTGGAAAATTTGAAACGTTGAAATCAATTTGCACATATCAACAACGAAATTGTTTGCTCGACTGTCGACTGCATTGCGTTTTCCCATGCATTTCCTACTGGCTTTTCCCACACAAGTGTGAAATGAAAAATCATCAAGTAAAACTTGGCTGCAATACGAAGGCCCTTGGGGGATTTCTACATAGAATGTACAAACGTATATCTATGCCATCTACAAATTTCATTTGCTATTCCTTTAATCTTGATAACAAAAAAAGGAAAAAAGACCAACAAAAAAATAAAACATGATAAAACCTAAACCTAAAACCGCGAGAGATAGCACAAACATAATTACATTTATTTAAATTTTATATATCTCTCTCCGTCTGTATCGCGGTATGTTTTTTTCAGGCAACAAGCGAGCAAGCAATCCAGCAAATAAACAGAAATCCCTGTTTTATGGCCTTAATGATACGCTTTTATGGGTCGTCACGGAGAGTGTCTGAATGTCTGAATGTCCTGTCTGTCGGCCTGTTCTTCCCATTGCCATTGCCATGCCATGCCTTCAAATTGTTTAAGCAAACATAAAACTTTACAAAAATGCGAGTAAAAGAATATTTACTGAGAGAAATTTGCTGTGTAGGAGGAGTCGGAGAAGACGCTTCTCAGAGCTCATTACAACCACAAAAACCAATATGCTTATTGCTCTTTGGCACACTCCTGCCTCCTGTCTGTCTGTCTCTTTTTCTGTGTCTGTGTCTGCGTCTGTGGCTGTATCTGTGTCTGTGTCCGGGGCTATAAAAACTGTTAACGTAAGCGTAAAATGCTTTCAAGTGCTTTGCAAATCTAGCAAACCTCTCACAACACCAAACCCAAACCAAATGCCAGGCAAATCATCTTCTTGTGGGCGAATCTTGGAGCAGGGATTTTTTCCCCATCTTTATTTTCTAATGAGCAAAAGCAACAATTGGTGTAGGTGGCGAAAGTATACATTCCTTGGCCATATATTTAACGTCTTACTTGTCTTAAATTAAGGCCACAACTGAATGGATTTTAACAACTGGAAATATTCTTTCTGAATCTTGATACTCACTTTACTGATTTTTCAATAAAATCCTTTATGCCCCTTGGAAAAAATGCACCATTTTCCAACAAAAAACGCCTCAATCCATCCATTTTTAATATCCTAAAATATACATTAAAATGTATTTTCTTCAATATATTTTATTGTAAGCAAAATTTTCTCTAGACTTTACTTTGTTGTAAAGAAAACTTCTACTGGTCGAAAAGTTAAAAAACCCCCCACACAAAACTTTCGCAAATGATACAGAGAAAGAGAGTGGCCGTCCCCCGCAAAAAAAAACCGAAGGGCAACAGCAAATTGCTACCAAAATGCAATGCCCACAAAAGCGGTAGAGCCAGAGGATGCCTTTTCCCTTTCAGAAAAGTTTAAATTATTTACAAAATGCACTCACAATACCCGATATTCGAGTATATGTATATACTGTGGTAGTAGGGCACATTGTGCCCAAGTTTTGTACTCCCTTTAGGCCACAATGCAGCTGCAAATATTTATTATTTCTGTTGCCGTTGATGGTCTGGGGATCAGTTTTCGGGTGTGTGATTAGCCTTTGAATGGAAGAGATATTGTAGAGTCCGAATTGAACTATAAATAAGCTGAAAAGTTTTGCATTGATTCGCTGACAGAACGGGAGAATAATATTTGTTCAAGAATACTCTATTTTTTTTTACACATTTCAATGAATAAAAAGGATCAAAGGATTATAATTTTTCATATTTTTTTAAGCTGAATCTGAATGGTTGAAAGGTGTCATTTATTCAGAAGATTTTTTAATCGTTTTAAACCTCAATTGGAATGCCCGAGAATTGTTGTTTAAGTTGAAAGATTAGTGATCTAAGATATAATATGATAAATTAATAAATAAATATTTATAGCTCTTACATACCTCTTATAAAATGTATTTTTGTAGTTCTATAAATAAGTAATGTATTAGATTTATTGCGACGAACCTAAGTTAGGCAATTTATTTAAGTACAATATAAACCTTAAAAAAATCCAACAAAAATATAATTAAAATACTAAACGCGTTAAACGGGAATACAAAAATATATAATAACTATCGTGGCGCGTACCGCTTCGTTTCGTATTAATCGAAGATTCTGCTGCCCGTTACAGATGCAAATTTTTCGGATTTTCCATATATACAATATCTCACACGTAAGTCCCGGTTGTGGCCTTAGGTGCAGTCCCCCATCAGCCGCGCCATGCAATTTAAATGGCGCGTAATATTTAATTTCAATCAAAGCTCGCTACAAAAAAAGATTTCCTACATACATATAAAAAAAATGATACATAAATCGAATTGATATGTTGGGTAAACTACTTTACGTTCTCGGGGTTGTGGACTCTGATGCTGCTGCTGCTGCTGCTGCTGCTGTTTCTGCCTCGTGCTGCATGCACATGACAATATTTTTGCTGCTTGTTTAACGTTTCGTGATTTTTGCCTGATTTTTAATGCCATGCATCTGTTTTTGCACTTGGCCCTCTGTGTCGATCTCCCCGGCTCGCCCGACATATTCCCATTTGCCCCATTTTGTAGCCAGTATCTTTTTCCCTGTTTTCTTTTTTCCAAGCCACTCGTACGAGTACGTGTGTGTGGACAAACAACATGCGACATTGTATTGACAGCATATTGTGACAAATATGTAAAAAGAATATATGTACATACACCAAAAAGAGAAAGAAGAAAATATTCAAAAAAAAATAAACACAAAAAAAAACAGGAAAGAAAAACCCAAAGCATACAGAAAATGATGGAAATGCATTTCAAGTGCCCGAACGAAGCTTTAAAATCGACGGTCGGCCTGTCTGTCTGTCTGTCGCCTACTCAAAACAGCTGCTGCCGCTGCTGGGGTTGCTGTTGCTGTTGCTGCTGCTGGTGCCCGAAAACGATACGATACGATACGAGTAACCCCTAAAACACAGCCAGCAATAGCCCCCCAATAGTATCTCTCTGTTCCTCTCTAAAAAAAACAGGAAAGCTCTCTTCGAGTAGGGGCTTGAAGTTTTGCTAACACTCTTTGCGAAAACTGCAGTTTTTCCAAGAGTATTTTTCAATTTAATTCGTGTTGTAGTCTAGTTTTTAGAGTAGATTTAAAACCAATAAATTTCTGCTTTGAAAGCAATAAAAAATACCACAAGAATTCTGGAGATTAACTGGATTACCTGGAATTCTGAGATATTTCCAGTACTTGCAGAGCAATGAACATGTTTCGTATATTCATGAGAAATTTGCAAAAGAATGTCAAAAAAAGAGTCTGTGTCTTTTAGAGTTATCAGAGTTTTAGCCAAAATGTAGCCTTGTTGCTGATGTTTAATCTTCTCTAAAGCTTCCCAGCAGCAGTTTCTTATTCCATGGTAAACCTCCCACACACAGATATGGCATCGACTTGGCAAAAAAAAAAACCGAAAAACAACGAAAAGCAAAAACAGCAAGCAGCAAAAATATATGCACAATAACCATCTACGCCCTGGCTGAAAAGTCTAAGTCTTAGAAGAAGAAACCCTTGATATTAAACCGCTTCGCCATGTTCTTTTATGACCACCCCACAGATCCGCCGGAGATCATCAGGAAGCCACAGAATCAGGGCGTACGAGTGGGCGGCGTTGCCAGTTTCTATTGTGCGGCACGCGGTGATCCGCCGCCTTCGATAGTTTGGCGCAAGAATGGCAAAAAAGTTTCGGGTAAGTTTTTCCATTGGCTTCCTTAATGCATATACACTCCACGTATGTGTGTGTGTTCCCCCCACTAAACGGAATGCACTTTACGCAGGAACACAATCTCGTTATACGGTGCTAGAGCAGCCCGGCGGGATTTCCATATTACGTATTGAGCCAGTGCGAGCGGGCCGTGATGATGCCCCCTACGAGTGTGTGGCAGAGAACGGTGTGGGCGATGCCGTTTCCGCAGATGCAACTTTAACCATCTATGAAGGTAAGTGCCATACCGATATACCGATATCCTTACTCCTTAGGCCAAGTTAAGCCCATCATCAACATAATCAAAAAGTGGTTATTATATGTGCGGGTATACCTCTTAAGTATAAGGATTAGGGAGGGTATATTTGGTTTGACATAGACGCTACAGGATTTAATGGACTCTTAAGAGCTAGAGGACAGTCAAAACTTGGCGACATTCTATGCCTCAGAGAAAAGATTGTCTAAATTTTAATTCTAAGAATCATATAAAAGAATAATTACCTCCCATATAGTTTCAATGGGCATGCCATAGTCTTAATGTGAACTATATATCCTGCCTACTTGTTTATAGCTGGAAACTGCAACTTCCTAATTGAACTTCACTCGACGGGTGGCTGAGTGTGGTGCGGTGCACAGAAGCCACAGCAGAGTCAAGGGCTTTTGGGAACTGGGGCTGCAAGCAGGAACGAAGTGTGATAGAGCGACATCAAAAGTTTCGGTTTTAGTATGCGACGCAATGTAAACGAAGTTCATACATTGATTTTGAATTAAAACTGGGTAAAGAACTTGGCGTAAATGCTAAACTTTCGGCTGCCCCTCCCGCTCAACCCTAGCATCAGCTCCTCCCCTGTGGATGCTCCTGGGATGGAGTGGGGTTTTGGCGGGATGCCTGCTCCAAAGTTATTTGCCAGCTTGTTTGTGTGGCTTAAATTACTTGCCAAAATTTACTTTTGCTTATTTACAACTGTGCAAAGGATAAAGTTTTTTGGTCTCTCTAAGCCTAATCAAGTCTGTGCCAGAGAGAGAGGAAATGGAAGGGATATCGGCAGAGAGGAAGCAGGAGAGCAGGGACTGAGTATGGTCGTGCCAATTGAACTAATTTGCTTAAACTGAGAGCAGCATGGCCAAGTATTTATAAATTTCCTACTCGTTTTTCTTTTCACAAATTATAAACAGCACAGCAAAAAGTTCGATAACAAATTTCTCCGGAAGAATGAAAAACTGGGAGGAAAATGTACAACTTTTAATGAGATTAAAGCAGCAAATTATTTGCTAAATCAACTCCAATACAAAATGCATATTGATTGATACGCTCTGTGGCTATTTTGAGCTCATTTAAAAGGGATCCCGAAAAAGGGATTTCATTGAGAAACTAATTAGAAGGGGGCTTTGATTGGGTTATTGGTCTTCAATTAGAGAGATCCTTAATTAAATATAAATTCATATTATCACAATAAATACTTTCCATTGAGAGTTATTTTCCCTTTTCAAACATGAACTCTTTTTCTGTTACCTTGGCCTGCCTTTTTGGACTCCCATCATGTCTGTGGCGGCCACCAACTTTTACCTTCATTCGCATGGCTGTTAGTGCTTTGGCTAAACTACACTAATTACTTCCCCTCGTATGAGCTCCTACCACCATACTTTTGAGCCTATCAGCGACGCTTTGCTCGTTGCAAGCTGCCACAAATCAAATGCACACCAATTACGTGGCGCCAGAGTGCACATAGAGCATAATCAACTCGCATAATTAACAACTAAAAATGCAAACGTTGCCTCCAGGCACCGCATAAAAAGACTAAGTGAGCGAGATACCAAGGGGGTTGTAGTATAGTGCAGTGTGGAGTGTGTATTAAACAGGAATATGCTAGTTGTATGCCCTATTTTTCGGCGGGTATTTCAGGCTTTGGAAGAGTCGCGGTACAGCCCGTACATGATGGGGGAAATCACTTGAAAGTTGTTTAAAGTTTTGGGTATTTAATATTTTATTTATAAGTTTTTTTTTTATATTTATTTCTCTTGCAGAGAGAAGAATGGGATTTTCGTTTAAGAACTAGAGTTTTGTCAATGGAAGAACTCCTGTTTTAGAATAAAGAAAAATCCTTTGAAATAACTCTGCCATTTCCAAAGACATTGAACGTTGTTCTTGACATCGGCCTCCAAGAGTATCACAATCTTCGGCTATTAAAAAGCCATTTGCACCTTCTTGTTTTTGGTTCCTGGGTTCCACCTGATGATGGCCCTCCGGTGTTGCTGCAATTTTCACATATTTTGTGGTACCCTTTGGCGGCCTCATAAACAACCAACAAACAACTGGCTAAAGCAGCAGCAGCAGCAGCAAGAACAACTGCTAGTGGAACTAGTAGAACAACTATAATAAACCCCGCTAAAATAGCTCGCAGACAGTACTAAATTATAAGTTAGAGCTGTAACTCCTCCACTCTCCCACTCTCCGTCTCACTTGGTGGCAAAAGTAGTGCACATTACTCATACGCCGCGTACATAAATTCAAGCAAAGGCCCCCACAGCTCAGCCTTTTGGATACGTAATTATTTTCCGTTTACAAAATGTCTGCCCGAAAACAAGTGGAAGTCGAAAAACACCCACAGGAAGATCTCAGTTCTAGGGGGATAAATGTAGAAATAATAAACAGATACGAAACCCGAAAATTGCCTTAAAAATGTATAACTTGTGTAGAACTTCAACCGGCGGGTGGGAGATTTATTATCACAGCGCTCTGCTGTGTGGGTGGAAACCTCATTTGCCTTGAAACTTAATTAAAATTTTGTATTCCATCATAGAGAATGAGACAGAGATAGAGATGGTCCTTGAAGTCCTAGTAGGTCCTCTGAAGAGTGGGTGTCATGAGCAAAACATTCAGTTGTAGATTCTGAAGTAAAAACATGACCGCCAGCCACAGATAACAGAGTCACACAGCCATAAGCAGGATGCTCTCAAAATGGGGTACCACGAACAGGACTTCTCCGAGGACAGGACTCCACTGAGCTTCTCTTAATGGGGGAACTACTGCGTCGTAATAGCAAAATAATAATGCAACCAGCAAATGGAAGACAGAGCATTATAATACGTATACCAAATATCAAAAACCCAGAGGAAGAGAGAGAGCCACAGACTGAGAGCAGATGAGAAACGGATGAACATCGGAGTAAAACGTCGGGAAAAAAAGAGCAACAAAAATTATCGCTAGCAATAAATTTAGTCAAAGCGTGCAGAGAACAGAAGCAATCAGCCAACAAATTGTAAACAGTAAATTTTACTAGCCAAGGGGTGAGTGCCGCATATACACTGAGCGAATGGGGAATATATGTACACATGTAGGTGGATGATTTGGTATACCAAAATATTACAGAAAGGTGATTGAAACTAGTTTGAACTGAATTTTATAATTATTTTATAATAATTGATGATCATTTTGAATAGGAAGAGATTTCAATTTCAATTATAGGCTGCAGAAAATACCAAAAATACGAAATCCAATTCAATAGTCATGGAATTGCTAACAAGTATCGAGTCTTGAAAATTCTGATGATACTTCTTCTGCACTTTGCAGTGTATATTCCTCATTTGCGTGCGTTTTTCTCTCAGTGTTAAAGACTAGTGGCAAGCCACATTAGCACTAAATCGCAGGGACTAACGCAGTCAGTTAGTTAAACGTTTAGACCATAAATACACACACACTCACACAAAAACAGAAGCATAAGAAACGAACGATTCGAGGGCGGAGTGCCAGAGGATGCTGCCGCTGCTGCTACTGCTGTGGCGGTGTCACGCCTCCGGTAGGGAAATTTATACGCACCATGAAGAAGCGCCACAGAACTAATCTTTATTTCGATATTTGCATAAAAACCAAACATGTCAAAAAAAATAGATATATATGTATGTAAGAACCAACCGCTGCATGCGGTTTTTGTTTGCATTTTTGTTTTGTTTCTTTTTTGGAAGCAGAAGCAGGATGAGCAGTAGGAGCAGTCGTGGGAGTTGAGTACATAAAAGTGCAAAGGCAGAAAGGATTTACTGCATTTACCACACGCCTCCTTCAAGATATCCCAACGGGTAGAGAGAGTCACGTTACTTGCAGGTGTTGCAAGTGCAATCTATCCTAGGCTGGTGGAGGGTTGCGAGCGTGGATGTGGCAGACACAGTGGTGTCGGCTTTTGTGGCATGGTGTAATAAGAGCACACACACCTACGGACACACACACACAGATTCATCGCTGTGGCAAGTGTTTTTGATCCTCGCTCTCGCTGCTTTAGCCTGTTGAGAATTTTGATTAAAAATGCTTTCACGTGAAACTCAAACGTGCCTTCAGTGATGCCACGATGGGTGGTAGGGCTGTAGGGATGCGCTCCTCTGCATATGTGGGCTGCTGGCGACCCGACGGGTCGTCTCTTTATTGGCATTCGGGGTGGCGCTTTTCCACGCTTTCCCGCGTACGTGTGCGTGGTAGGTGTGTGAACATTTTTACATTGAGATTTATCACACCCAAAAACAACAAACATTCAGTATACAAAAAAATGAGAGAAAAGAAGAGTGGAGAAACTTTAACCGGATCGCGTGAAAGGGCGAACAACAAAAAGGTTGCATACGAAAAAAGTTATGCCAAAAGGAATTACAACAAAAAAGGAAAAAATATTTGTATATATAAACTTGCCACATGCTGGGGAAATTAATTGCCAAGGTCCTGCTGGCGGCTGCCATAGATAGGTAAAAGATATATCACATACTTGTGCACATTTATTTGTGTGTATGTATGGGTAGTAGATACATGCATACATAAATCTGAAGAAATTCTAAAAGTTTATCGGCTTTGCGATGGAAAAATGATTTAATTAAGTAAAATATAAAGCAAAAATGTAGAAATCAGCTGATGATTCCTTAAATATTAATGAAATCATCGATTATTCGAATTTTTAAAGAAGAATTACCAAATTCCTCTTTATTTACAAGTTTTAATATATTATAATGAAGTCTAAACAAATTAATTTCTAGCATTTTTTATCGGAATTATTTTATTAAATTAATTTCAGATGTTTTTTCCGATTTAATATTAGTTTTACACCTAAATTCAGTTTATTTCATGTATTTCTTCTCGTTCAAATACATTTTCAAATTTATTTTGTAATTTCTTAATTTTGCCAAGATTTTCAACCCGTTTTCTTTAAATTTCACACAAAAATGCTTCTCTTAAATCGTTTTTGGTTAAAACACCTTTAA